ATTGGGTGACTAGTAATAGTAGCACAAATGTAATTAGAAACTGTATATCAATTGCTCTGTAAAAAGGTGTTTATCATAACTAATAAAGTTTTTATGTTTGGCAATATAAAAAAAAAAAAAAAAATATTGAATTTTTAATTTTAGATATAGTTTGATCTCTATATAATTATCAAGTTGGTTGTGCCCTAATATTGTGCTTATATAAAGGTGTGATTATAAAATTTAAACCTCTATATAAAGCCAGACAAAGTAAATTTTTTAGTTCTTATAACCTGGCCGGGTCAAAAAGTATGAGTTAGAAATTTTAAATTTTGGGCCGCAGCATAGTATCAACCAATCAAAATCAAGTATAGAATAACAAATTTTGGGTCGTAGCATAACATCGACCAATCAAAATCAAGCATAAGATAACTATATATATATACACAATTAGCAATACAAAATTTTAAAGATCTCTTTTATTCTTTTATTTGAGGTAATACAGTATGATAAGATTTACTCTGTGCATGATTTTTTTGTCTTACGCTCACTAGTTGGCTTCCACTTATAACGTTTTTTTGAACCTCCTACACCAACACATTCATAACATGTTGGCTATGAGCCTTTTGACGTTGCTATATTAGGAATCTTGAAGTTATCACACAAGTAACAGATCTTAGGGTAGATTTTTGCCGAATAATACGGCTTTTCAATTGGTAAGGCACATGTTAATGAATTATTCACAAAACCGCGATTAAAGAGTTCTTGAATGAGATTGGTAGTTGCATCTTTTGTACTGTCATCTTCAGGATCTTTAAATTCAGTATCGTCACCTTGATCGCTTTGATAATCATCATTTTCATCAAGTTTAATGTTGTTCTCAGGTTCCTCATTATCACTGTCTAGTTCAACGGCCAATTCAAGAGATGCCACTGGTGTAGTCGATGCTAATTTCTCGTTATCACTGTCTTGTTTATCAGGTTCAATGGCCAATTCAAGAAATGCTGTTGGTATAGTCGACACTAATTCATTAATATTTTTAAAAGATGTTCTGCATGAATATAGTATCATATCCAGGAATTGAAGAAGAATTTGACAATCCTTATCTAATAGTTTTTTTGTACTAAATAAAAGTCATGGTTTGTTACATCTATACAAATAACCGTAATCTCAACATGTAATGCAGTTGGACTAAAGGGTATTGTATGTTTTTGTTTGTGTTTGTGATTTACACTATTGGATTTCATTTTATGACTAGAAGGCCTATACTTCTCAGTTGTTTCACTACTATACAATTCTTCGAAAGACTTATAATGCAGGTCATTTTCTGAAACTAGATCTGGCAGAGAGAAAAGCTAATCAAATATCTCACACGAGCATCGGGGAGGTTTACAAATTGAGCAATCTTCTTTTCCACATTTCTTAATTGTGAAGGAGTAATAGCGTATTGTGCAACAGTGATCATAAAATCTTTTTAAATATTGCTTTGAAAAAAAAACCCCATTAGTATCATGTTATATATTTCAATACTTTATTTATACTAACATTATTTACTTTTTGTTTTATATGCTCTATTGTACTATCATTACAGGTTACAGTATCATCAATCAGATGAATTACTTTCCAAAATTTTTCTATTTTATTAGCATTGAATGTTTTAAATGGATCATCTTTTAATGATTGCCTTTTAAATATTTCACGAACAAACTTAATAGGTTTCTGAATACTTTCTATAAGCTTTTCCTTAAAAGTAGGATTCGATTTCGTGATATCATGAATATCTTTCATTGTATTGGCTTTACTAATAAGCTTTTCATACCTACTATCCATTTTGGTATGCATCAATCCAATACTTTGAAGACTGAGATTAAGTATTAACATTATATGCTCAACTAGGTTCTTTCATAAATGAGAAGGTGGGGTTCTTACCACAACAAGGTAATCAAGATCCAAATCCAAAAACAAACAAATATATAAAATTTGAACTCTTACAAATGTGCATCTATGGTCAGAACTATCATTGGTATAGATACACAACACAGGTTTACTTGGTTTATTCATTAAAATATCACAGAGTTCTGTCATATGTTGCAAAGAAGAAGAAGGCTAAAATATTGGGTTCTTTAACCCTATTTTTACTTTACCTGTATAGAAATCGCTATTAATTGTTTTTGGGATATCACATAACATAATAACACTAGGCACCATCCCGACTTTTGTATAATCATGATTATTTACTGCTAACGTCATATTCCTTCTAACTATTACTTGTTTTCCTCTTTTCACAGCAGCCACAGGATATCTGGGCTCTCCAATTTTATATTGATGTTTATTATCAAGAAACACAAGACTCGTAACATTACAGAACTTCACAGAAAATTCTTTCTTATACCAAAATAAAGCTGACACATAATGGGCATCTGGGTGATCTTTACATAATTGCCAGGCTTGTATCATAAACTTTAAAGGTAGACGGCCTGTATATTATAAGCTATTTTTATATGCTGGGTTTTTGGGCCAGAATTGCAGTCTTAGCCACTGTTTGCTCGGAATTGGTGTATTAGGTGGATATTCGTTTTTAATTTGTTGAAGCAGATTATTCACTGAAATAGCTGTAGCGAGATGTACTATCTGATCATAGCGACGTTCATCAACCACTATAACTAGATCTGTAGCTTTTCTTGCAAGAAAATTTGCTGTTATTTTCAAAAAAATTTTATATTTTTCTGCACTTCCTTTATTATAGTCACGTAAATCGATTGTAATATCCGGGTCACCTAATTCCAAGGCAAGTATTATATGAGCATCCACTCTTGCTTCACTTATAGATTCAGTAACTGATGTATCGTCTGTAAGCATTTGATATATGGTTCGTAATGGGCTAGTTTTATCTTTGGTAATAGAAGATCACATGCTCTAAAGTATTTAACTCTCATAGCATAAGTATAGTAATGAGGTGCATTATTTTTTAATTTATTTATAATCTATGTGTTTTCTTGCAACATTTTTGTTTTATTGACATTTTTATCAATTCTCCAGATAGAAATGGCATTATATACATTATTGCTGGAGTTATAGCAATATTTACCAATCTTGTATAAAAATGCTTGTGAAAGACCTTCTATAAACCATGATCATTGCCTGGAATTAGAGGCCTGCAAATTTCTAATTTTAAGGCCCGGCCCGCAATTAGGGTTACAAATTTTTTGCCGGCCCGGGCCCACCCGCGGTTAAAAATTTTTTGTCAAGCCCGGCCCGTTTTGGCCCGGCCCGCGATTATAAAAATTTTTTTTAGACCCGCCCAGGCCCGCACACCGGGCTGGGCGGGCCCGGGCTGGGCCAGGCTTTTTGACCCAATGCAGGCCTCTACCTGGAATCAAAAAAAAAGCCAACTATTACATAATTGAAGATTCTTTACAACTTACTCAATAGATAATTAAAAAATAAGATAGTTTAGAGATGGCAATAGTTGGCTATTTTTGGCTAGCTATTGGCTATATCTCATAATCCAGTGATCTAAATGGGGTGATTTTAGCAACTTTCAACTTGTTTTAACGAGACAAATCGAATGGGACTAAAATCATCCAATTTGGATTATTGGATCAGGAAAAACAGCCAATAGCTACAAAACAGCTAGCCGAAATTAGCTAACCGTTGCTATCCCTAGATAGGTTCAATTAAATTTTTATAATTCTGTAATTGTATAAATAGAATGTAAAAACATTTTTTAAGCATATTGTTATTTACACAATTCTGAAGTTGCTTAAGCACTTATTAAAGTGCTCTGAAAGAGTCATTCAGGTTGGGTTTGGGGTTGAACCCATATTTGTTCAAACAAACTTGAGTTTGAAAATCTCTACTTGTATATTATTAAAATTATCCAGTTATCCAGTAATTTATTATAGCTTAATCTCTAGGCAAATTTTTTATTTATATTATACTTTTCATGCACATTATACTTTTATTACTTGGGGTTATGTGTAAATTTTCAGGTTTTATATTCTGGAGTTGGGTATCTGGGATTTTTAACCCCTTTCGGAGCACTACATTAGAGTAGTGCTGGAGAACCCATAATGTGTTATTTAATAATATTTTATATTAACTCTGACGGCAAAAATTCTTCTAGATCTAACGGCTTCCAGAGCTGAAGTTTTTGCAAAACATTTTTAAGCACTTGATACCATGCTTTGTTACATAGCTTTATCTAATTGTTGGCTTTATAAATTTTTAATGTAGTAGCCTATTCGATACTTCGAACAAAAACTTTGCTTGCATGGTTTGTTGCAGTTATTTTTTGTTGCTGTTCTAAGTATTTTATATAATTAGAAACTGAAACGATAAACTCATCAAGTGCATTGTACAACCAGATAAAACTTGGTGATTGAATCCACAAAGAAGTGGCATGTCATGCAAGGTCTTGACAGTGTAGATTAAGCTCATTTGCAACAATTGGCTTTCTAGATTCTTTATATGATTCTGGATTTGCATAGTTTAAAAACTCTTGAAAGAGATGTGGATCATAAATATCCAAATACCAAAGAATTTCCGATAAAGCAAAAACAAATTGTTTTCCTGGTTATCTGCATATGTCTGTATTGACCAACCACTATTGTGAGATTTGATCCAATTTACTATATCTAACCATAATGATTGTTTTCGGTTTACTTTTGTAGGGTATACAAAATTGGGAATATATAATTTATTATTTTGTCTTGCTATTTGCATAAGAATATTTAAACCATTTTGATAGTCATGGAATATTATTTGTTCTTTTTTTAGACGATAATGAACATTTGTTCTAAATATATTCATTAGTTCAATAATATTACAATCAGAACTTGTTGGTGTAGCTTCAGTTGAATTTGTTGATTTATTTATTTCAATTGACTTGACTTGTTTAAAATCTAAATTCGGTACTGATATTTCTTCAATAAGTTTTTGAAAAAATTCTTTGACTGATATTTTATAGAGAATTGGATAAATATACTATCCATATAATATTTTTGAGCCCTGAGAGATATATATATTTGCGAAGGGCATTTTTTTTTTAGATAAACTGGTAAGCAAAGAATCAAGAAAATTTTAAGCAAAGGTAACCTGATAGACGATAAACATGAAGATGAACACAAAAATCCAAAGCTATTAAAGGCGTAAATATATAGTTTTACTGGATAAAGAATTTATTATTAGATAAAAGTGTTTTATTTAATCGCACTATATCTTTCTTTATACATGTTACAGATGATATTCATACAGGTTTTTGTTATCTAATATAGTATATAAAAATTATCATAAACCTGTGAAGTAACAATTATTGGCGTTATTTCGATAATTAGAACAAAAAAAAGAAAAAATATTAGCATTTCCCGAACACCTTGAAAGAACGCCTTGAAAGAACATGCATTTCATATATTAGTGCTATACTACAGGCTTATAAATCCCTTTTTTTTTATTTTAAAATAACTCGTATATGCTATTTGTACTTATAGCTAGAATTGTAATTATATGAATTCAAATAGTACAAATATTTGTAATTGTTATTGGTATGCTTTTTATTTTATCTTTTTGATTTATACATCAACAATAACTAACTATAGTACACAATCCTCTCTGAGCAATTACAAATTAGTTTTCTATTTTAGATCAGTCAGATGGTTTATGCATTAATTGTCTAGCTATGTAAGGATAGTGCTACATGTGACTTACATATATTTATCTAGGAGAATTTTGGACCAAATTTAGCACATATTTTGTCTTGTTATTTTGTGTTATGTTGCATAATGTGATTACATCATAACGGAAGTTCATTTTATTAGTTGATTAAAAAGAATCAAGTTTTTGATATTCAAGTAATGGTAAAATCCGGTATGGTAATAAAGTTTAAAACTTAATTTATGCTAGTAAATTTGAATTAAGAATAAGTGTGTGAAAAATGTATTGTTCTCATTTATACTATTTAATATACAGAGAGCTATTTCTATTTTTATTCATTATAACTTTTTAGATATATGAACCTCAAAAGAACCTGTGACTGTAATTAATATTTATTGGTAAATATTATGCAATTTACCTTTTAATGTTGAACTGTTCAACAGTTAATTATTAATTAATTAATCAATTCAATTAATCAGTTATAAATATTTAAAGGTAAAGTATTGTAAATGCAGGTATCATCAAGAGAAAATTCATTATCAGTTGGAGTTTAAATTTATTGTTTACTTGACTTTGATTTTCTGTTTAGTAAATAATAATTTAAAATCTCCAATAATAGGTTTTCTCTAAATAGTATCTATATTTGAGTAACAGAAAGGGAAAATCTATAAATCATTTCACTCATTATCATCACAGTAATATGCACTCCTAGTTATTATAGGGGTTGATATCACCGCAATAATAATGAGTGAAATGGTTTACAGGTTTTCCCTTCCTGTCACTCATTTAGTATTGAAAATACTAGAATTAGTTAAAGTTTCAATCCATTAAGCATTTATTCGGATAACTATCAGATATCCAGATCTAAATTTATTCAGATATCCTATTTACTATCCATTTACTATTAATATCTGAATAATTATCCAAATACCTGCTAGATTATTTGAATTTTTGATCGATTTGAATTATCCGGGCAATTAAATATAGATAAGCAGATAACAAATTTATCCAGATTGGAACTTTAAAATTAGTAAAATTAGTAGGTTAATGCAGAGCTGTTAACCGGGTCAGGTTGACCTATACAGATCAGCATCTTGACAGGTCAAAAATTAGCTCAACTTAGATCAAATGGATTAATTAAATAAATAAACTCAAGATTGAAATATAAGATTCAAAATATTTCAATTCAAATATTTATATCTCAAGGCAACCTCAAATATATATATTAATGTACTACAACTTAATTGTAAATTATGAAGCTTGATTTATGTGACTATTGACCCGAGTAATAGCTTTTAAAAATCATTCTTTAAAAATAGCTTACTTAATTTTAAATTAGCGTCTATAAATTAATGTGCATCCAATGTAATATATTGGGTGTTTCAAAAGTTTCTATACACAGCCTCTTTTTTTTAAAGTAACCGGTCACAATGATTATTTATATGATTCTTAAAAAAAAACTGTGTATAAGAACTTTTAGAATACATGATTTAATTAGGGCTTCAAATCTAAGTTTACTGGATTGGCAAAAAGTTAAACAGGTTTCTTTGTAGTATTACATATAAATTTTTTAAATTATAAACTTATAAATAGTATTCAGTTTTTTTATGGAGGTATTATACATATGGGGTACTATAGTTAGTGGTATATAGTAGTTTGTTTTTTTATTTAAAATTTTTTTTAATATAAAATTTTTTTGCCAGGTTCTGGGTCATTATTTTGAAATTAATATTTTTAATTAATAAAATTTTTTAATAATAAAAAAAAATCCGGGTTGGCGGGTCAAAATAAAAATTTTATATTATGAGAACCAAAAAATTTACTTTGTATAGCCTAATCACAATTATAATAAAAATTATAAATTGTGATTATAAAAGATATGAAACAGAGGCAAGTGTAAATAAGGATGCTATTGGCTCCTACATTTATATTTATATAAGACAAAAATTTAAAATATACAATTATATCAATTTTAATAAATAACTTAGAAGTAATTGATCAATTAAGTAAATTAGCATAATTAAGATTATTCTACATATTTCTGTATATCGATATCAATTAAAAAATCATAAATTAATAAAAGACTTTTTATTAATAAATTAGTACAAATAATAAAAATTAATAAGAATTATAATCCTCAATTATAAAATTTCTGTAATTGGCTTTCAAAACATAAATATACAAGCTGGGTCAAGCCAATAAACATCTTCAGCATTAAATATAGATACTATAGCTTATTTGCTATTTATAATTTCTACAATTGGCTTTTTAAAACCTAAATATACTTTACTGAAACTTAAAAAAAATTATATATATTTTTATAATAAGATAATAATGTTTTTAATATATAATAAATATGTTTTTATAAAAAAAAACATTTTTATAACATTTTTATAATATATTAATAATATAATAAAAATTTTTAAAAATAAAATAAAGATTTAAAAATGTTTTAAAAATATTATAATATTATTATAAAAACATTATTATTATGTTTTTTTTTTATTTTTCTATGCTATTACAGCAATCAGAACGCTAGTGGCATCTTTTTATTAGAACTATTTATATTGTATTACATTGTGACTTTTTGTCTATATATAGCTACATGTGCTACCCTACTATGTACTTTGTTTCCATATTACCCGTTTGTAAACTACCTTACCCATCTGGCGGTGTTATCAGTATTAGCTTCTGTGTTTACAGGTTCAGTTTCCCAGGCCTACTTTTGTGTTACTAGGTGCTTTTTCCATTCATATTTCCTTATCTTACTTGCTCCTGAGTTTATGGATTTGGGTGACCAGGCCTACTGTCATGTCACTAGGGGCGTCCTTATGTAGTCGATCCTACTTGAAGTTTCGGTCTTTTTTCTGTTTTAGATTTGAGCAAGAGTACTTTAAATGGTTTCTCTGTACTTCTTTTTTTCTTTTTAGGTAGATATCATGTGTCTTATATCTTTATCGGGGGTTTCTCATGTTAACGACTTTCTTTTGTTGGATTCCTATCTTTTTTTGGAAGTTACATAACTTTTTTGTAGCTATGTTTCGCAATCTTGTAGCCAAACGTGATTCTGGCAAAGAATGATT